AATCATTTTCCAAATTGAAAACAAAACAGAAAAATACTTAAGACATATCAACTCACATTGTGTAATAGAGGAACTAATTAATAACCAAACAAAAAAAAGGGCCACAAATTGTTTATAAAAAGAACATAAAAATTAACCATGGAAACCTATACGTAAAATTCATTAATCCCAAATTCCCACTAAATTATTCGATGCTTCGAAAAACACCCACAAATTAAGCTATATTCTCACCACCAAACTGAGCATGATGCTAACTGCTAAAGCCATCATACTTGAATGAACTACGCTTGCAGATGAATTGGGCGACACGGGAGTACCTGTCACCTCCCCGGATGGCGATTGAGACCCTTCCCGTGATGGAGAAAGTGCAGACCCTGCCGGAGATGATCCCTCAACTGGACTCTCGGATGGTGAAGTGGCTGGCACAGAAGTGGACCCTTCTGGAGAGTTAGCGACTGGAGACAGTGATGAACCTGGAGTCAATGCCGGTGCTGAAGTTGAAGCTGCAGGGGATGCAGCTTCTGGGGTTTGAGCTAGAGGAGGTTGAGACAGAGACCCTGGTGGCATAGCTGGTGCTGAAGAAGACGGAGATGTTACCGGGGAACCTGACGGTGGTGAGGATGATGTAGAAGGCGGTTTGGCTACAGGGGCATGAGAAACAGGGGACATCCCTGGCGCTGGAAAGGTTCCCGGAGAACCTGACGGTCCTGGGGAGGAAGTAGACGGTGGTTTGGCCACCGGAGATTGAGAAGAAGGGGTCCCTACTGGAGATGAAGATGATGTAGAAGGTGGGTTTGCCCCAGGGGAATGAGAAACAGGGGATACCCCTGGCGCTGGAGCTGTTGGTTTAGGTCCAACAGGAGGCTTAGCCACTGGGCCTGGCGGCAACTTGGGAGGCGCCGCTCCGGGCCTGATATGCAAAACAACAACGATCAATTTCTGCCCCTGCTTACACTTGTCATCTTCTCCACTGATGAAGTAGAAAGGTCCAGAGTGTTCGAACTTGAACACAGAATTTCCATCGTCCATTTTCTGAACTGGATTCTTGGTGTTGCAGCTGTTATAGTCATCTTTGTTCACCAGCAACACCGAATCTGCTCCCTTCTTGTACTTGAAAACTACCAAAAACCATATCAAGAACAGAAAATAGTAAAAACCCAGAATGAATCAAAACATGATAATGATGAAAAAAGATTTCAGTTTTTGGATTAATTCTTACTTAGATTGTCATTGACAAGGAACCTGTTTCTTCCAGCCCATTGATTATAGTCTTCTGAAGGGTGCAAAATCCACCCTTGTTTCCCACCCACATAGAAATCATATCCATAAGAGAACGAAAGGAAACAAGAAAAGAAAACTAAGAAAAGGGAGAAAAATCTATGAGAATTCTCCATTTTGATGATGGAGGAAAAAAAGGGTGATGGTTTTTGTTAAGAATATAAATATGGTTCTATATATAATGAGGGGATTAAGAAGTAGAATTGGTTTTAGAAGTTTAAGATTTTATGGGGTTTGATGGAGAGGGGAGAGGTGGGTAGTGAAGGAAAAGGAAGGAATTTTGGGAGGGAAAAAGGGTTGAGCATCTTTCATTTATTTTGTGCCCAATGTTTTTGTCCATAAACGTGGCAAGAAAACAGAAATTTGGGAAAAATTAATGTGAAGGGACAAGTTTGATCTGTTTTGGAGCCTCATGAAATGATATATATATATATATATTTGATCTTGGTTGCCCAATGGCAAGCAGCCATCTTTCATCTCTTATCTCATTCTACTCGCATGTTATACAATTCAAAGTCAATATCTCTTACTTCCAGAGATAATCATTGAATTATTTAGATGTTGACATTTATATATACTTTTAAAACCAAATTATGGGGTGATAATTGGTAAGTGATGGTGTTTTGAATTTTTGATTTTAAACATAGTGAAATTATTAACTTGATTATCATAAATTTTAGTAATATCATTTTAATCATTAAACTATCAATCATATAATTTGACTGTAGAATTACATTTGCTTTTAATTTATAAATTTAAAGTTCAATCTTTAATCATTTAACTTTAGTTAAAAAAAAAAAAAAAAGAGTTCAATCTTTAATCATTAAATTGATGTAAAAAAAAGGACACTATTATTTTACAATGATCTCATGTTTTCAAAATAATGAATACAGATCAATTGATATACCCAAACAGTACGTGAATCAATAATACTTTGAAAAGCTTGAGGTTCGAGTCTCTTCTGATCTTGTAAGTATATAGTTGTTTGTATATAGGCAAAAAGATAGAAATTCAAGCCCAAAACATCAAACATATATGTTCACATCTCATCATCCAGCAAGTTTGTCCATTCTGTTCATGAGCAGTTTTCTTGGAGATAAAACTTCAACAAAATCTTTCAATAGAATCAACTAAGACTATTTTCATCTCAGAATAAAAGAGAGGCTATTTGATTTTAGTCCTTGTCTTTGAAATTATTGGGGAATCAAAGATTGTAACAAGTGATATTCCTTTTTTGTAAAGGATGTAGCTTAGTGCAAATTAATATGAAGTATGTTACCTTTAAAAAAAAAAACAAAAACAAAAATACTGACTAACATGCATAGTGGCATGTTTTTATTGTTGTTGAGAAGCTAGAAAGCTCACAAAAAAAAAAAAAAAAAAAAAAAAAAAAAAACTCTTACAAGTTTCACCCAACATATTCTAAGTTTCAATTTGAATAATTTTCTCAGCAACGAAGGCATAGCATGTTTTTATTTTCCTTTTATTTTCATGCATCCAGCTCATAATTGTGCTAGTTTGCAGACACCAGAAGGTGGAAAACACTGCATTAGTTTATTATTTGCATACGGTCGCAGAAGGGTGCTTGAGAAAGCAAACATGTCTTGTAAACTCTTTTCTTGTCTGCCAAGGTAGAACTAGGTTCATCGTGAAAAAAGTGCCTTTCTTTTCCATCTTTGAGGTTGGGGACAAGAATTTAGGAGTTGTCAAATGAATGGGGTTTGAGTTTGGGCCAAGGTGTTCTGCCTCTTTTTTGACTTTATTAATATGTGCTAAAGAAACATCGCCAACTTCACTTGTATTATATGTTCTGCATTGCAATGTTGTTTTATATTCTAAACATGCAGATTTTGAAAAGGCACGAGATCATTATGTCAAAGAATAGTCAATGTTGAGCAAAGACTTGTAATGAAAACAGAGGTGGGGTGGTTGGCCTTGACGGAAACTTCCTGGTTGAAAATGGTTTCATGAAATGAGAATGATACATTTTCAAGCGCTGCTTTTTAGATGTTGAAATTTCAAGATTCCCCTTAAATTGTGCATGATATATGGAGCATCATGTCAAGGAGTTGTTAGGACAACCTAATTTAGGTCATGTTTCATTTTCACAAAGATTGAGATTTAACTTTTTGACTATGAGAATAACAAACTAATACTAGTTTATTAAGGCTTCAAATTTCTTTGGTCACAAATATGGTAATATCTAGAGATACATAAATACAATCATATATATGTGAACGTAGGAGGGATTCACTGCCAACTAAATTTTATATTACAATTATATAAAATTGGTTAAATTCTTAATTTACTGCCAACTAATATAAACTCTTGATTTGGTTTTGAACTAAAAAAAT